ATCATGGATTAATGCCCCCTTTGTGTAACTTCTCAGCTAATTACTCAATTCTGAGCACACGAGGTGTTCTCCTGAGCACGTATGTGTTTTTGGGGGACTTCAGCTGTATGACTGTGCTTGTAAGATTGAAACTTTGTATGAAATATCTTGGTTTATTATTTGCCTAGGCTGTGGTTTGACAAGCTGATTTAGGGTGTTTCATACCATACCTAACAGACACAAATTGCACAGTGCCAGACAAACTCACTCTACTGGTTCATACTGGTTCAAAAAAATGTAGGTAGGAGGTATGTCTTGTCCTAGAGACTTACACAGTCTGTCTGAATTCTTATTACATAAGCTATGTGTAAGGTATTACATAAAGTATTATAACACCTTCTTTTGGCTGAGGTATTGTTTGTCCTCCTGTGGCTGGCATAAAATCAACATACATAACATATTTTTCACTCTGATTCAGCGTAATGCAGAGGTGTTCACATCTGATATCATCAGATTTGTGCTGCCAGGTGATCTGGTAGTACAGCTTCTGTATCCATTACCATGACTTATGTTACTTTTTACAGGAGAATCTAATCCCAAGATCAGCAAAACTCCCTCTGAAGTCAGGGGGTTTTGGATCAAGTCTATCTCTCATTTGACTTACTCCCTCCAGGTTGAAACAGACTGGGGACCTTAATTAGTTTGAAAAGTGTGCTTCATTTTTCAAGAGAATGGCTGTGACACAGTCTCATTCAGTAAAATGCTATAAAAGTGACTTTGCCACAAATAAGGAGCAGTACCTTTTATATTTCACACTGGAACATCGTAACTAACTTTTTAAACTCACATATCTGTGGTATTTATTTAAAAGAAATCTTCAGTGCAGTCATTGACTTGTTCATGCATTAGTCCTGGGGAGAACAGGAAAGGAACCTGTGATGTGATGTCATGAGATCACTCCTGGCTCAAAGGTGACCTCAGCCTAAGGCAGATAGCTAAGGCATCTAACAGTAGTATCTGCTTAAGCTTCAAAAATTATATGTAGTTCGGGATTTGAAAGACTTGAGAGTTTCAATGTGGGTTTAGTTTTCACCTGGCTTAATTACAATGCTCTCTTAGCATAGGCTGCTGCTGGTTTCTTTTCCCAGTAGCAAACCTGAATACACTCCTAATTCTCTTGACCACAACCCCATTCCCAAAGTCATACCCATGATAAGGTTTGTGACTGGAGGAAAAAGTAAAAGCTGCTCACGAAGCTTTTCACAGACCTTTTCAGACCTGAAGTTTGACTCCCGAGATAATGTTTCACTGCTTTGTCTTCCAAGAGGTGTGCACCTGACACACCGTGTGGGGCCAGCCTTATCAAGAAGGTCATGGAGGCCAGGAGGTTTCGCATCGCAGGTGAAACCACATTGCCTCATCTCTCCAGATAATCATTCACCTGCTTATACATATGCTTCTGGCTAGAGACTCACAGTGTGAGACATGCTGAAGTCACAGAAAAAGGCTGCAGGTTGTTGTGGGAATAGTCAGCGTTGAAAAAAACCAGTCAGTGGGTGTTTGTAGCATTTCCTATGAGTTCCTGCACCCTCTGCTTCTCTGGGACTCAGGAGCCATAGAACTGAAGGCTGGGAAGTGGAACGGGGAAAATTAAGGCAGTTTAGGTAGCATTATGGGCATATGGAACAAACTGAAAAAGGAGATTATTGAATGATGGCAGTACAGATTAACAAAACAAATCGCAAAATTTAATATAACCCCCTGCGCCAGGGCAGGCTGGGGCTGACCTGCTGGAAAGAAGCTCTGCAGAGAAGGAGCTGGGGGTCCTGGTGGACAGCAAGCTGTCCATGAGCCAGCTGTGTGCCCCTGTGGTCAAGAAGGCCAATGGTATCCTGAGGTGAATTAGGAAGACCATTGCCAGCAGGTCAAGAGAGGTGATCCTGCCCCTCTGCTCAGCTCTGGTGAGGCCACATCTGGAGTGCTGTGTCCAGTTCTGGGCTCCTCAGTTCAAGAGAGACATGGAGCTCCTAGAGTGGGTCCAGTGGAGGGCAAAAAAGATGATTAAGGGACAGGAGCATCTCTCTTACGAGAAAAGGCTGAGGGATCTGGGCCTGTTCAGCCTCAAGACAACTGAGAGGGGATCTCATCAACGTCCATCAGTGTCTGAAAGGAGGGTGCCAAGAGGATGGAGCCAGACTCTTCTTGGCAATGCCAAGCAATAGGACAAGAGGCAACAGGCAGGAACTGGTGCACAGGAAGTTCCATCTGAATATGAGGAAGAATTTATTGTGTGTGTGACTGCTCAGTGGAACAGATTGCCCAGAGAGGTTGTGGAGTCTCCCTCAGTGGAGGTATTCAAGAACCATCTAGATGCAATTCTATGCCATGTGCTCTAGGATAACCCTGCTTAAGAAGGGAGGTTGGACTAGATGACCCACTGTGGTCCCTTCCAATCTTATCCATTCTATGATTCTGTGATTTGCTTCATCTATCCTCCTTACTCCCATAAGGTACCAATTTACCTTTGAGATTTCTACTAGAACAAGAGTATTGTCACCTTTTCTTTGCTGAATACAGCCATGGAGAGCCTGAAAGATTTATTTATTTATTAATTGCAAAAACAACACCCTGTTTTTAACCAGGTCCCGAGCTGCCAAGTTAGGAGTGTCAGTGAGTGAGAAGGAAACTGAAACATCAGCAGGAGCAGGAGAGTCTCCTAGTTTGAGGGTTGAGTTGGGAGAGGGGCTCTGGAGCAGCGCAGAGGCAGGTGGCAGGGGTGCCAGAGGGAGACCTGGGGAAGGACCACAATGTGGATGAGCGTGAGGACCAACTGAGAGGCACATTCATGGCACTCATAAGTGTGATGAAGAAAGAGTAGGTGGGAGGAGATGCAGAGCCTCAGGCAAAAGGAGAGAAGTGGAGCATGGTGCTATGGGGAGATGGGGCGTGGAGAGGCTCTGGCATACAATGTGAACAGACAGTCGTATGAAACTGGATGCATGGTGAAGACCCCTGTCATAAGGCAAGGGAAAAAAATTCACAGAGGTGTTTTTAATCAAACACAGGAAAAAAAAATTAAAAATTAAGGAAGAGATTGACAACAGAAGCAGAAAGAAACAAACAGCATAGGGACTATGTGTAAATAGAACACCCAGAAGAAACTTTAGACGAGGAATACTTCATTTAATAATTAAATATGCATTGTAGGCCTGTACTGACAAGGAGCAAATGGTGTCCTTGAAAGACACCTCAAATTATGTCTCTTCATTGTCAGTAAGGAATAGAGCTAGGTCTGTTAATCCCCTACACTATCTCTAAAATTTTTGTGTTTAAAAAAATATTTTTTTCCAGAAGAACAAAAAGTCAGCTCAAAGAGACTTAGAGGGCTTTTTCTTTTAATCTTTTGGTTTGCTTAAGGAGCTGAAAAATCAGTCTGAAGCTTAGCCAGAGCAGGTACAGGTACTTCTCAAGCTGCAAAGGTTCCTCCTTCTTCAGGGCAGACTAAAACAAGACAGAATAGGAGCACACACAGAGTTACTGACCAGCACTCCACCGTAACTTGCTGACACGACTTGGAAATGTGCCTTATTTCCATTGCTTGGCTAAGGATTCTTCAGCACATCCTGAAGAGCATGACAAAGTGCCTTCATACACATGAGTTGCTGTCAGCCTGATCCTGAGGACTACATTGAATTTTGCTGCTTATGGCAACAACAGGCATATTTCAGCACTGCTGAATTTCAGCGCATCAGCCATATGTTGTCTCAAACCAGTGAAATCCTCAGCTGACCCATGATCAACGCAAAGGAAGATGGATCCATCCCTAATGCTGTAACTAAGAACTCCTCAGTCTAGTTTTTATGATATTAAAATCTTACCCATTCGTGATACACTGCAGGATGGGTCTATATAGCTAAAATCAAACAGCAGAAAAAAACTTCTCTAAGTTTTCAAACAGAAAGCAAAATGAGCATCTAAATGTAATGGGAATAAAAAAGATTAGAATTAACAATACATCAAATCAACCATTTCAGTATATTATCTGTTGGTTGGCTAGGACTTTTTATGGTATTGCTGCTCACACTGAAAATGCAAATGTTAGCTGGATGTGAGCATGCAGGCAGTTAATGGAAAGAATGGGCAGATTCTTCATGTTCTTTCTCTTGATTCAAGATACCAAACTACTGCACATGCATGTGAAGAAATACACTTGAGTTCTGCTTTCCACTAACACAGATACTAACTCGCCATTTCCATTCCAAATGTTAATTTATTTTGTTTATCTTTTCTCATCTTTTTCCCAGGACACATGGTTGTCCTCAGAACAAATTCTCCCCCTTAAAGCTTTGCAATGTGTTAGAACTCGTTTCTCCAGCCAAAAGGACAATCTGTGAAATAATTTATGTGTTATGAAAACATGCCAACTACTAGAAGTTGGTAAAAATCAAAGTACTCATTTGTTATTTGCTCTGTAGTCTGCTGGGAAAACTAGAATGAAATCGATGCCTCAGGAGGATAATGAGAACTTCTGTTACTCAGGAAAGAAAAGTTTGCACTGAAACTTAGTGGATACCAGCCCTGTGCATGTGATTTGGCATCCTGTTTTAAAACAAGACAAATTTTTTTTTTTTGATGGTAGGGACTTTTCCTGCGACACAGGCATGACGTGCACCGAGAGAGCAATCAAACAACACTATGTCTTACCAACTGTTTGTGATCTGGTTTTCTGTCCTCACGTTGCTTACCTAAGTTAGTCCAACTACAAGTATCTTGATTATATGTGACAAGCTTTGTGATGCCCTAGTAAGATTGCAGTTGAGCCCTCCACTGCCCCAAATTTCAGACAGGGCCTGCTGTTGCAGTTAGTAGATGCAACACATTCATGAGTAGTGTGGCACCTGAGGCAGTTTCCCCAAAGTAGATTCTCTCTGCTTGAGAGCTGGGAAGAGTCTGATGGCTTCAAGAAACATTTCTGAATTGCAAAAGTGGCTTTGAATAAAACAGACACATACAGCCATTAATTTATTTATGTTTAGACCATTGACATTTATTTAACATTTGTGGATGAAATCAGCTTTACATTTATATATTTTACATATTTATGTAAACTTAGCTTTATATTTTAGGGACAAAGGGAGTAAAGGTAGGCAGGCATAATGCTTTGGCCTTCTGTACTGACAGCGCTAAACTTAGTCAGATGCAGGTTTAATCATTGCCGTGGTTGGGACTGGTGTGACTCGGACCCAGTGCTGTCCTATGCTTAAACTGCTTTGGGAGTAAATCCTGGCTCTGTAGTTCACCTTACAGAGTCTTGTCTAAAAGCGACAGATGAGCACCAGTTCACCTCCTTCGTGTTTTTGTCTTGCTGGGGACACTGTTTATAGCAAGCAAGGACTCGGACTTGCCAGACCTACATCACCAGGATGCTGCCACAGCTCTGCGGTACCTAACACCAGGATCAGCTCAGCTGTCTCTGAACCAAGCACCTCCCTGCTCCTATAATGACAATGAAACTGCAGGGAGTATGCAGGGAGTCACCTCCAGGGATTTTTCACGTGTTTCTTTTTGTATTGGTAAGTATTATTCTGCTGGCAAGTCTGGATGAGAGAAATTTGGTGCAGGATACAGCCTAGCGACACCAAATGCCTCTTGAGAGGCATCATGTTGCAAGTGTGAACTGGTTGGTACAAGTTATGTCTTGGGAAGAGCCAGAAGTGTCCGAAGGAAAAATCCACCCATCTGGAATCACTTGTACGAGAGCCTGTGATTTCTAAATCCCCAAGCACCAGATCCTACAGTCTGCACACACCCAAAAGTACAATTAACATTGGCTGCATCAAATCTTGAAATGAGAGCTTACTTGTGTTAAATACAGATTAAATTCCAGGCTTAAAGCAGCAATCAAGTGTTTTAATTGCTCCTTTCAGCTGTGGTTTTGTAAGAAGTAGAAAATAACTGCACTGGTTAATTTAGAAAAGTCTACTCTGAAAGGAGATTTTGCAAAATGTTTGGAATAATAAAACAGAGCCCGTTTTCCATTGTATCAGGAAAAAATCGAAGTTAACAAAAAAAAAGTCTGGCTCCAAGCTGGACAACAAAATAGAAACTAAAGATAGAGCTACAAATATAGTTCCAGAAATTGGTTCATATCAATTTGGTTATCCTCTAAGTAAGAAAAAAAAAAAAAAGACAAATTATTTAAAATTTCTGATTTAAAAATGTTTTGAAACATCCTACTTGTGATGCAAGCCATCTTAATTAATGTAAAAGCCAAGACTCATTTGTTAGCACACGCACCTTTATGCAGTAACAAGTTGCATGACAAGACAATTCTAATGACCTTCCAGGGCTTTGCAGTAGTGAGAGAAATTTCTGTGCAAATTCCTAGATTAATCAATTTTCCTTTCATGGAGTAAAAAGGAGCAAAACATCTTAGAATAATTGAGATGGGTTTTCACGACCTTTCCTGTTTTATAGAAATTGCTGTTTACTGGAAGAAACAACTTTTCTGATGGTGAAACTTCTTAAAATAACATCTTCAACAATGAAAACACTTAATTGGAAATACTTTTATAAATAAATGTACAAGGTGTGACGTTGAATGTAAGAGACACATCTGTTGAGAACAATTGGAATAATTTTTATACAATTGGCATAGGAGCAGCTTCACTTTGAACAAAATGGATTGAGAGATTTTTTTGGGCATAACGCTGCATCCAAGGTCAGGTGACTAAGCTTTGTTTTAGAAACATGAGACATAGAAGCTTGAACTGTAAAGAACAGCACAGTGTCTCAGAGGACGAGGCACGACAGAGACAAAATAAACACGAGGACATAGAAGTTAAGCTTCTCTTACCCACTACCTAGCAGAGGTATTTAGAGATGTTGAAAGCACCTCCACTCAGAAGAAATTAAAAGGAATACTGTGATGTTTGGAAATTATGCAGGCTGAATAGTCATCTTTAAGGAAACGCTGAGAAATTGCCAAGGGCCCTGGGAAACCATTGAACTACACAGAACAACAGGAGGTAAAATCCAGCATACATGAAAGCAAAGGAGCACACATGGAAGATAAACCATGAGTGTATCTTGGAGGGCTCTAAAATATTTCTACTCAGGGCATTGCCACTGACTGCCCCTGGGAACTCCTAGTCAAAAAAAAAAAAAAAAGAAAGAAACAAAAGAGTTATTCTAGGACAAAGACTGAAGTAGAAACTGCAATAAGAAATAACACAAGGAAGAAATAATCATATGCCACACTCAACAATTTGAGCTGTACAATGCATCTCAACAATTTGAGCTGTACAATGCATCTCAATAATTTCTGATGTATCTCTCTGTATTGACTGTCCTTTACTCAAAAAAGCATGACAAACAACAGTCTGGCAGATTTTGCTATTTCCTTACTGCTTGAAAAAGGCTTCCAAGTAAAGAGTATTTCCCATAGTTTACTGTTGACTATGTTTTCTCCAGCCTCCTGTAGCTCTGTAGTTACAATTTCCAATGCTTACAAATTTGAAAAACTCAGCTTTTGTAGACATCAACTAAATTCCTGCTTCTAACATCAGCTCCTGGAGTAAGATGAGCTCAGGCAATTGTGGTGCAGCCTTGGCACAGCATAACTTAATTTTCACTATTGTTCCCACCAGCCCTCAGCTGCAGTTCACCCCACCTCTCTCCGAGCAGCACCAACTGTTCCAGAACCACTTTGAACTCCACAGCCCAGGTGTGACGGGGAACAGGGGTGATGAATTGACTCTTTCCTCCGGCCAAAGCCTCCACAGCAGGCATGGCAGAGAGGCAAGGAGGGAAAGAGGGAATCAAAGCTAGCCCCAGACTTCACTCCTTTTCTGGAGGCCCTGTGTAAGTACTAGTGTGTGGGGTGGGTGTGTTTCCTACTTCCCTCAAATACTTAAAATGGACATCATAGCTGAAAGTCATTAAATATTGACAACTCTCCCATCCTTAGCTATCTCAAAGGGCTCACTCCACTGACCCACCCAGGTACTGCTGATTCTTTGACTCTGGGCCTCCCTGTTTTCAAGGCGTGCAGCAACAGAGAGGGGAAGATCAGGCAAAAGGCCCTCTGAAGCTTCCTAAGGAACTCCAGCCTTCACCAAGATGCCTGAAATTACTCTCCTTTTCACAGTGGCATTTCTCCCACAGATGGGGAAGGGGGGGAGGAGATGACAAATCAGAAGAATAGGTCCTTTGATTGTTGGGCATGAAGTAATTAATCAGTAATGCCACTGTAAACCTGTGGTGCAACTTCACAGGCATTAAAACAGGAATACAGCAGTTAATTTAATTGCCAGTAGTTTTGAGCAGAACAAACTCATAGGTGAAGCTATCTAGAGCTAACATTTCAAAGCTTTCAGGTTCTTGCTTGACCAGGCCTGTCATTTGCATCACTATTTTTAATCACCCTACATCAAACAGGCACACATGCTCAAGGCAACACCCCCATCTCAAGAAAGTAAATTCTGCATTTTGAAAGAGAATTAAGACATATTTTACTTCCCTGTGGCTTGCCAGGTTAAACCAGAGTGTCAGCCATCTTACCAGGACATGTCTGTCAAGTAATTTTCACCTCCTACCACAACTAAATCTTCCCATGCCCATGCCATTCAATACACAGAACATGCTGTAATACACTGCTAGGCAACATAAGCTACAGCAACAAGCAAGTTTACCTTTTTGGCCCTCTACCACTGTGAGCTATGAACTAGGCTATAACAAACATTTCCCAGACTTAGGAAAGCTGAGTAGCATTCATTGCACTTTTCTTACACCTGTGAGGAAACACCTCAGCCAGCCCTCCTCGCTTGTTTCTCAGCTTCAGCGACTCTCTCTTGCAGCAGCTTCACGGAACAAGGCATCAAGACTGAAGCTGCAGGAACATCAGAAAAAACAGACAAACAAACAAACAAACAACACAGAAAAAGAAGAGTTTCTTTGTTTCCATGCTCTGCAGGAACTGCTCATTCAGCAACTGTGGGCTGGAGAGATCAAGTGAAGCAAAAAGGTACTGCCTATGTCCAAGCCCAGCAGTTCAGATGTTGTGAATCAGTGGGGAACCAGGTGACCCAAGGTCTAGTTCTCAGCTTGTCCACTTAGGGAAGCACTCCAAATTAATAGCTTCCTCATAAAAGAGGCAGGTAAAGGATGTGCTTATCCATTCCTCTCCCATCTGATGGGCAACAACTGAGCTTACTTACACATCTGTGAAACACAGGGCCATGAACAACTTGTGCTGCTCTCAACATTGCAACAATGTTGTAACATACTAAAGGTTTGTTTTCAATGCTTTGAGTACTGACAAAAAAGTCCCAAATGAACTAATGTTTAAATGCTTTTTTTTTTAAATGCTTACTAACAGAACTACAAAACATTTTAATTTGTCTTAACACACTGGTAAATTGTATTATTCTCCATCTTATTTGTACTGAAAGATTCAATTTTACTCCATTCATTTGCATGCAATCATAATATTCAAAATAGAAAATGTATGGTGTAGGCAATGGTGCATAATAGATACCACCTCCTCTCCTCTGAGAAAGCATTTGCAAGTATGTCTTTTGTGTTATTATTTGTTGCACGTTCCAGTTATACAATGAAAGTACTTTCTGAGTTTTGTTTTTGGTGGTTTTTTTTTTTTTTTTTAAAGCTTCTTAAGGCACAAGAAGAGTGCTCTCTTAAGTTTCCTCCTTGAGGTGCATGATTCTGTAACCAGTTCTATGAAACACCCTCAGGCTTAGTGGGTCAACATCACAGGCAGCCTGGCCAACTTCACCTGCTGGCCAGGGCTCCTTTTTCTGCTCATATATTGGCCTACAGAGCACCTGCAGCAGTAACAATGCACACATAATTTCTTTTGTGGTACCAAATCTTACTGAGATACTCTGCCCAAAGCTTTTCCACTGGTCAATATCACATTAAGCCAAATAGCTAAATCTTCTCTTCCTCAATGGGAAAGCAAAGGACAGACTAGGTACCCTCAAAGTCACTCTTTTTCCTTTCTTTTTCCCTTCAATACCACCAAATTTTTTGTGCTGCTTCTGGAAAAAAACCACAATCTTACAGGTATAAACTCACTAATTTCTCCCAGCAACCCAATGTAATGGCAGTGAGATTTCCCCTGTTGTCCAGTGCTTGACAACAAAGTCGCATATCTCACTTGGAAGACTGTTGGTGAGGGAGAAAGGACAAGGAAAATGACAGGGAACAGGAAAATTAAATGCTTCTCCCAATCCCACAGCGCTTCAAGAAGCCTACTGCTTCAAGTCCATTACCCCCAGGTACACCAAGTGCAGCAAGATACACGCCTGCATGCCCTGAGCAAGGACACTCTCAGAAATTTCCCCACCTCCAACTGATCTTATTTTATTCTCCAGAATCCAGTTGCTAACATTTGGAATCCCAGCACCTCTGTTAAGTACTTGTATAAATGTCATTGGAGAAAAAAATCTTTTCCCTTAGCACTGCATAGATCATCCACAGGAAACATATAGACAGTAGGGAACCATCTGCATGTCCCAGGGGTATTTCTTCATTCCAAACACTCACATGAATGACATTTCACTGTTAGAAAGTAAAGAAAACCAAGAGCAGAAACAAGGGAGGTATGGTGGAAGATACGTGCCAGAACACCCAAGTGGAAGGTGGGAAGTTTAGGCAGAGGAGGTATGAAAATGAGCTCTTGGCCCATGTTACACCTTTCAAGGGCATGTCTTGCCTCTGTTTGTGTCAGGCACATCTACAGGGAACACACAGCCCAGGTCCTCTGCCACCATATTATCTTGCAGCTTATCCAGGAAGCAGCCCCACCAACCCACACCAGCACACTTTACTGCCTTCATGTAACTCTTTAACTGCCTCCTGTCTTCATGTAAACTCATATTGGGGGGTAATAGTTATGGACACTTTGAACATCAGCAATGCAAACAGTGCTTGTAACATGTGAAGTCAGTGTAAGCAATGTAGCTGTTTTTAAACAACCACTCGACTTCTGATCATTAGAACTGCCATTAGAAGTGGCACCTTCTACACCTGCTGATGTAGGTTCAGATACAACGCTCGTTATTACATGGTTCAGAAAATAAACAAATCTGAAAACTGTGATCCAAGTTTAACTTTGCACAGAATAAAAAAAAAAGTTTTATGGAAAGGATTTTATAGACACAAATATTTGCAATAAAAAAAATTCGAAGAAAACAGATTTTGTTTGGATGTAAACATTCCCCTGCTGCCTCGGAAATATTGACACAGCAACACTGCACTGAGACATTATGAAAAAGAAAGTATTTTTTAAAGTAAAGAAAGAGCAACAACCACCAAAAAAGGTAAAAGTACTTACTGAATTATTTCATGTTTACAAAAATGTAAAATACCATAAACATGTTCCTGCTTTTTTAATCTTCACTGCTGTTTAGCTGATTGCCCAGTAAACTGCTAAACTGCAAAGATGCCAACTGGTTTTGATGAGAGTTCCCAGGGGAAGAAAAAAAAAAGTGCAGGACCCAGAAGATTTTATGGATAAAAATGTGTGTCCTTTATTGGACTGGGCTGATGCATGCTGAACTTTGTGAAAAGGGAAAAAGACAAACCTGAGTGCCAAACTAAGAGGGGAAAAGTAACATCTAGCTTTGTGATTTCTCCAGCTGTGTTTTCTTTGCAGAAAGAACTACAAAAAGTATTCCATAGATACTATCAGTTGTTGTAGCATATGTTAAGGATATAACCTAAAAAGAAGTTGATCACTAAGGCAACATTTCCACCAACACCTAGGCTGTTAGAACTGAGTCACATCCCTCCCCTCCATGGTTGCAACAGCCTCTGCGGCTTTTGGTTTTACCAGAGGAGTGGACAGAAAAACCTGTTGCCAATGCCACCGGCTTCTCAAAAACCCACAAGCCTTGCAGGTAGCTGGGGAGTCTCCTGTGTGCACTCCATCCAGCCTGACTTCCTTAATGCGAGACCACCACCGTCACAGAGCTACCTATACGGGGGTGAAAGGCTCTGTACATGCAGCCAGGCTGGTCAGACGCTGCCTGATCCCACAGCTGGCCCTCAGAACATGTTTGCTGTGCTCACCAGATTCTTATTAAGAAGATTACTAAGTTGGCAAGATGATAGGAGACAGCAGAAGATGGGAAAGCAATGTTTTAAGCTTAAATTGGAAGTCACACTGAGTAACTGGTAGATCTTCTGAGATCAGAAGTAACGATTTTGCTCAACTGCAGATGCGACAGGCTACCCCACATGCAAAATATTCTGCTGTCATCTTACCTTTAAAGACACATCATTATGACCAAAAGTAGTAACAGCATTGAGTTTTCAAGATACTTCAAGTATCTCAAACTGAACTGCTGCACACAGGTGGAAGTTAGAAACTTGAGTCTACTTCTGAGTAGAAATTTAGAAATTTGAGAAATTTAGAAATTTGAGTCTACTTTCGCTGAAGCTCAACTCTTGTTAAAGCTTGATAAAGACTTAGGTAATTAAGTCAATCCTACATGGCAACGCAACACATTTTGTGCTCTCAGTCACATTCCACTGGTTTTAATTTGTTCTTTGCAACAATGTGTATCAATCCAGCACACGAAAAAGAACATCTGTGAAAAAGAATCCTATCCTGCTAGAAATCCCTAAAAATAAACTTGTCTGAAATTACTCCCCAAAAGTATATGTTCCTTAATTCTAGTAAGCTGAGAGAAAACTATTTTTCCATAAGATGCTGGTCGTCCTCCCAAACAAATCAATTCCCATGCATTTTACAAGTACTCCCTACTGGAAATTCCATGTCTTGGTGAAAAGCTTTGCAGCACCTTTGTAAAAATCTTCAAATTCTTCATGCTGCCTGCCATATCATGTAAACGACAGCAAGTTTAGCTTCCAATCACCAAAAAATCTACTCATAAATCAGAGGTGAACAGAAGATTTGGCACCACCCTTTCATAAGCCATCATGCTGACTCAACAAGGATGGGACATCAGGAGCTGTAAAGATAGGATTCACTGGGTGTCAAGGACATAGGCAAACCCGTGCAGTAACTGTTAAAATTTGAACAAACCTATTTAAGCCCAACACTTTTAACGAGAAACTAGTGTACAAGGAAGTTTCATGCAGAAGCTTACAGCACACCAATAAGGGGGAAAGCACATGTGCAACAATAACCCCCAAAGCAAGGATGCACAAGTACCACAGTGAAATTACTGTGTGGCTCAAAGAGAGTGATGAAGAAGGAAAAAAACAAGGGGAGAAGGGGGAGGTCCCACATGTTGTAAAAACAGCACTGTGTGAAATTCAAGTTTCTTTATGAAAGCAGGCAGCAAGTTTAAAGCGGCCACTGATGCTGGAGAGCAAGACAAAGCTCTGGCAATTGTCTACAGCAGACATAGCAGACAGGGTGGTCCAACTCAGCACCAGTAGCAACCAGGAAACTGGAAGGTGACAGAGTGCCAGGAAGAGCACCAGACTGTATGAAGGCTGGAGAGAGGAACAAAAAACCCAAAAATTTCTTGGCAGAAGGACTCATTAAAGAACATTAGGAAGTGTTTCAGACTCCAGCTGGGTATGCTGCTCCCAAATAGGACACAAAAACCAAAACTGTTGCTGCTTTGCTGCTCTGAGTCAGTAGGTTAAGACCCACACTTGAACAATTCATGTGGGAGACAGAAGAGACCAGTATTTGCTCATCCTTCCTCATTCTCTCCCTCTCCCACATCTCTCCCCAAATCCTGCCACTGTTACAGCACTTCCTCAGAAGGAGATGCCTGCAGTGATGGAGCAGGCATGTAGTTCATGTAGCAATGATGGTAACAAACGCAGCACAGACCAGTGAGTAACCAAATTCTGATTTCTTAAGACAACAGGACGAGGGAAAAACTACATGAATGATCTGATGATTGAGCTTAAGCCTCTTCTCAAAAATGAAAAGGAATTTTGAAACTTGTAATTCCATCTGTAAAAGTGCTCTATATTCTACCATATTGAATGCAGGAATCTCAGCATTCACTGGATCAGTTTGAGTTCGGGGGCCATTAAAATACTGGTATTTTAGCACAGCAGTTATTCCATTTTTAGACAGATCAAGGCCTGATACCTATCACTGTGTAAACAAGTGGCAGATGAATAAGCTACAACAACTACAGTTACATTATGAAGTCTTTATGCAAAATATTGGAAGCAAATTTCGAAGGCTGTTTTCTCTTCACAGTTAAAATTTGGTTGTGCTTTACTAACTGAAAACCAAAAATTTTGTAAAAAGGTCAGGTGATAGAAAAAAGTGATTACAAAAGGAAAGTGGCAATATAAGAACAAAGGAGGAAAAACCACTAAGATTAAGAACAGCATTTGAATATAAAAATTTATTTAGGTGAAGTCACAAACAGTTTGATATTAATTTACAAACACTCCATGTTACGCATATTATTGGAACTATCGAGAAAGGTAAAGGAGAGGAGATAATGGCAACTTTTTCCTGAAACAACTAAAGGCAAACCCTTACCATCATGCGTGTTACTGGATCATAGTATTACCTTGATCATAACCCCTAGTATGCAAGGAAAAAGGAAAAGAAAACAGAACACTGAGATGCAGAACGATTAAACCATGAACCAGCGAACATAATTTTCATGAACACCAGACTACAAAGGTGTAGTCTGATGCTCAGGATCTTAAGTATTCTAACAAGAATAAAAACAAAATTATAATTTAGGTCAATTACTATAGTTGAAGAATTTTGTAATGCACAGTTGGGCTATCTGGCAATGACAGCAATGGTTAACTCATTTTTTAAAGAACAATGGAGAGGTGATACTGAGCCTCACAGAATAATTCTGTTGACAACCTGAGTTATTATAGCAAGTGTATGATACTGTTTTGAGTCAAATACACATTTATGTTGCAAATATTCTCAATGAAATGGCAAAAGTAACAGCTGTAACAAGACAAGTTATGATTTATTTTTTTTTAAACAAATATAATACATAAGGTTTTGAAGTGTCCGGTTGTGATCTGCAAAGATCCAGGATTGCACACAGTTTGGTCAAATGAGAAGGTTTAATCTGCGCATTAAATTGGCTTTTACTTTCAAAGTAGTATTTTAGAGCAGGGTTCTCCTCCGGGAGACTGTTCCTGACCTCATTCAACCAATGTTCAATTTATTCACCTTCCTGAATCTTTGCCCTCTTTGGATAGTCTGTGACAAGTGCTGCGCTGCAGGAATTCCTGTTTTCCAGCAAACTGGCTTGCTCTGCAGGTTTGTAGTCCATTGTTATAATTGCTGATTGGGTAAAATGAATTTCCTACGTCTTCTCTAGCACAGCTTGCAACGCAACAGAAGCAGAGGTAAAAGAATGCACTAGAATACCAGAGCTCCACTTAAACACCAACGGAGTCAGGCTGTTGGCACCAATAAAAAATTCTGTATTTAACAAATCTGCAAATATTTAAGATCCAAAGTTAGTCAGTTTTATAAATAAACTCACCCAATTAGTCTGACTGCCATCCCAACTGGCCTTCTGTTTTCATGGAGTCTGGGGAAAAAAAGAGAATTGTCTCAAGTTATACATACAGACAAATTTGCAGGAATGAATATCAGCTATCCTACATACATGCCAATTACCACATTCAAACTAAAACTAGCGTTTCTCACTTTGTTCTTTCCACGTAAAGCAAAGATACAGCTCTTCACCAGTGCCTTAGAAAGGACAGATAGCTTCAGAAGACAGACACTTTGTTTACATTGACTTTTACTGTTTAACCATCTGTGGAAATGCAAAACCAGAGATACAGTCACTAAACTAAATGACGCTGAAATTCCAGTCTTTGACTTAGAGGGGAAATGAAATTCAGTCATGCTGCCTAATGCTATCTGTTGAAATTACAGAACCAAAATCAGTTCAAACTAACAATCTGGAAAAGGTTTTTGTAGAACACCTCCTCTTCCTCTTGACAGCATGAATGTGGAAAAGCTTAGGTTTTGGCCAAAGTTGTAAGCCCATAAAAGGCTATTCTCTCCCATTTTAATTCTCCAATTCTTTTGCCCAAGTGTGATGTCACGTCTTATTTTACTGAAGTAGTTTTACACAACATAGTCAGAGCTTGCAAGGCACTGGGGAGGTGTGGGGGAAACACAGAAGTCACCTCCAAGAAAACATTTCCTTGCTGCTGCCTTGCCAATGATAAACTCATGCTTTATCCTAGGCCTCATTTACATTTAACAGCTGCTCAAACCCTTAGCTCAGTTAAGGACATTTTTAAGCAGTTATAAGACACTGTGCACTACCAATTAAAAACTGCTCTAATAATAGAAAAGTGGTTGTAACCACACTGAACAATTGCAAAACTTTTACTTTCTCATTGTGCTGCTAAAGCACTACTCTTTCTACAAAGATTAAACTTCCAGTATTTTGTAAGTTAGTTAAACATTTTTCCTTTACACACTTTCTGGGGGGAAAAGAAATAGGTATCAATGCCACTGCTAATAATCAGTTGGGAAGTTTCCATGAAATCAAAGGGGATTGAGACCTCTGGTGCCTCAACAGACAACAGATCAAAGGTCTGCACTGACAGACCAGCTGCTGCAGAAGTTACAAGAGCGGGTAACATGACAAGCTGAAGGTCCAGTCTCAGATGAGATGAAAGTTATAAGCCACTGCTCATTTGGTGCTCAACTGAGATCTGTAGGAGAACAAGAACTGAGCTGTTGTTCTTGAGAATGGAGAAATATAAACAAGATATCAGAAAAAGTTGCAGGAACATAGAGCATCAACTACAGAAGGCCCAAGGCCAACAGATCTGGGTTTATCTATATTACTGTGTGGTGTTTACTCCCTTTCTTTTTCAGCAGTTGGCCTAGTGAAGTCACTTTTAATAGGTATAAAAGTCAGGACTTGGTGTGACACACCAAACACGTCCAGATGCCTTGAAAATGGATCCTCCCTTCCCAGATCAGGCTAACAGAGTCAAACAACTTAGCCACTCTGTGCTGGCAATCCCCAGGAAGCAGAACATCTGATAAACTAGCAAAAATTCTACAGGAATGCAAAGGTTCTTCCTACAGACCCAAAACATCTGATTAGAAATAAATATAGCCAGTATCACAGAATCTCTACACCACCATTCAGCTAGCATGAAACTAAATGTTCAGCATTCAGCATTTTCTGTGCTGGAGATTTGGCAGATTACAGCCACCAGAGTAAGAGAAGCAGCACAACCCCTAATATAGGCAGGAAGCTCTTAGTAGCTGTAGAGCTCAGCGTCATGCCTCAGGCGGCAGAAGACCTGCCTGTGTGCACCAGGGGTTAGAGGAACTCAGTGATGCCTCTACTGAAAGAAAAAAAAAAATACATAAAATCCTCCCTCACTTTCCCTAATCACACTCACCATCTTTCCCACAAAACAGGTGATAACTTGTATATTAAATCTCCTGAGTCCCAAACCAGGTTTGATCTTCAAATCACAGTGCATTTGCAAGCTGTGGCCATTCATACTGAATTTTATCTTTATTCACATCAATTTTGCTGCCCTCCCACACAGCCTGCAACTACCCACATGCTCCCATAGTTACAGGAGAGTCTGGATGCTTTGTCTTACATACAAATAACTGTATTGATGAGAAAGTTATTTTTTTAAAGACAACTCAGAGGAAAAAAATAAAACCACATCTTTTTTCTAATGTCTTCAGGAAGATGAAGTTATGTATCGGGGGAGGGAACTAGTGCAGTTCCTGTTTTCTGGTGGCCAGGGCAATAAAGGCTACAGTTCTTTACTCAGCGTCCATCAACGACCACATCTCTGCCGGTGGCCAGCTGGGTACCCGTGATACCACGTCCCCTATGGTCAGCACGAGCAAAGGGTCAGCGCCGTGAGACTGGAGCCGCTGACCAATGCATGGGCACCCCAACTGCCCCTTCCTCCTCTTCCCCTCCGAGGGGGCACCACGCCCAGCCAGCGGAGCGGGAAAACACGCGGCCATCGGCTCATCACACCTGGCTTTTCTCCTCCTGCTTGGGGCTCTGCGCCGGCGGGGGCGGCGGGGCCGGCGAGGGCTGTGTCTCGCCCTCAGCCCGCGAGTGCCTGGGGACAAGCGACTTGAGCGGCGCCATCCACTTCATCCACAGGTCCAGGTCGACGTCACCCCAGGGCAGAGAGGGGTTCTTCGCCGCCCGCCGCCTAAAGTCCTCGTCGTAGTTCATCCAGGAGGTGCCCCCGTAGGTGGCGTGCAGCTTGCGGATGGTGTCCAGGTACTTGAACATGGCTCCGCAGCGCGCCGGGTGCTTCTCGCACAGCACGCTGGCGTACACCAGGAAGGCTGAGACCCACTGGTCCAGCGTGTCCCCCGGGCGCGGACCGTGCTCGGGGGCCAGCTCTGTGTGGAGCAAGGAAAAGAGGTCAATGAACTCCCCCCGCCAGATCCGCTCCTTGGTGGCCTTGGCCAGCTTGTAGCCCAGCGGCCGCCGCAGCCCCACGTAGGGGGTGGCCGGCGCCTCCGCCGCCGCCTCGCCCTGCCCCGCCGCCGCCGCCGCCGCCGCTGGGCCCCCGGCCGGGCCCGCGGCCGGGCCCGCGGCCGCGCCGCTCGCCGCTGCCGCCGCCGCCGCCTCGGCGCAGGGGCTGGCGGCCGCCGCCGCCGCCCCCAGCGCGGCCTGGCGCTCCAGCCACCGCGGGTTCACGTAGACGGTCCGCAGGCGCGGCGCGGCCCCCGCCGCCGCCACCCGCGCCGAGCCCTCGGCGCCAGGCTGGAGGCGCAGCACGGCCAGGGCGGCCGGCGCACCCGCGGGCAGGTCGCTGCCGTCCCGCCGCGGGGCCGGCTGGGCCGCCGCCGGCACCTGCAGCAGCGAGGGCGCCGCCCAGGGCGGGGAGCCGCCCCTAGGCCCGGCCGCCGCCGCCAGCGCCTCTAGGCCCGGGAGGCCGAGCCGCGAGCCGGGCGCCACCGCGCCGAGCACCCATCGGGTCTCGGCGATGCCGGTGCGGTCCCGGGGGCTCCGCGACCTCCCCTCCTCCCGGCGGCCGGCGAGCGCCGTCCCGAGCGTCAGCGGGGCCGCGGGTCCGGCCCGGCGGCGGCGGCGGCTCCGCCGCCTCCCACGTGGCATCGGCGCGGCGGCTCCGGGCGGCGCGCGCGGCGGGGGGCGGGCCCGCGGCGGGGAAGGGGCGGGGCCTGGCGGGGAGGGGGCGGAACCTGACACCGAGTCCCCGCCCCCGCCTGGCCCTGGCCCCGCCCCCCCGGGGTTCGGCGCTGCCCGCGGTGTTTCAGAGGTTCTTGCTGTTTGGCGCTGAAGTGCCTGGCTTCCACGGATATCACAGACTGTTCTGAGTTGGAAGGGACCCACGAGGATCATCGAGTCCAACTCTTAAGTGAATGGCTCGTACGGGGATTGAACCCGCGATTTTGGTGTTATTAGCACCATGCTCTAACCATAGAGTGCGTAATACTCTTTCTCTCTCTAAAAAAATAAACCCCAAAACTATATAGTGTATATATATGAACGCTATATATATACATATATACACTGTTCATGTAAACTATATATATTTATATATACTATGCATAATATATATGCTACTGTATTGTAGGTACACAATAGCGTACCTACACAATAGCGTCCCTGTTTTCATTATTATTGCTTCAGTAGAGCAATTGTTTCAAGTTACAGCATTCTATCACTTTTCCCTTCCAGCATAAATAAGTATATTTTTCTCTTTATTGAATTTTATTTTTTTCCCTTGTGTGCTATCACAGAGATTCAGCTGTCCTAGCTAAGCACTGAGCAGCCAATCTGGGCAAACACTTGCCCAGACTCCTCTGGGTGTCTCAGTGGCTGACCTGCAAAGTCCTATGCCAGATAAGAAACAGGAGAGGACTTCATGGGAGATGCAGCCCTGTGGGCAATTTCCTTCCTAGTCACATCCAAACACTTTCTACCACACAGCCATCTATGTCTTACTGAGGTCACTGTCAAAACACATGGTAGACTCTATAGGCCTCTGTAGGACCACGCCATCACAGTACTTGGTCACCAGCTGGGTGAAGGTCAAATACCACTGGAGCCAAAGAAGGGTGCTTGTGTGGACTTATGCACCCATTCCCCAGCTGCTTCCACAAACACTTGTGTAGGGCTTTCTCTTTTGGACAATCAGTCTTGAATGCTGTGCTGAACTGCCTGTAGATCAATTCCACTGCAATATAGACAAAAGTTCTGTGAAAAATGTAGCAGATATTTCATCTTAATGGAAAAACTGGAAGAGATAAATTTTAGATAAAAGTCTTTCTGTCAAAAAAATCAAATCTCAGGAATGACAAAATTAGAAATCCTTCTGTAAGAAAAAAGTAAGGTAGAAGTGTGGCTTTGGGGTTTTTTTAATGTTTAATAAATTCTAAAGAAATAATAAGAAAACAAAATACTCCTGTTTTCTGATTCACCCTTGTTTTAAGGGATTTATTCAGATATCTGAACAGATTTTGTTTAATTCTTGAGATGAATACACTCTTATTTTGTTAAGGAATTTGTTTTTTAAAGTGCAACCAAAACAGGTGGCAGTATCTCCTTCTAATTTCACTTTACTGGGGCATTAATAAAACCAGATTGTTAAAATAACTCTAGGACCATAACTTCTCTAAAACTTGCCCATGCAGCAGGCTTGCTATTAAGTCAGGTGACAGACGTTTATACAAAATCTCTAAAATTTTCTGAAGGTTAAGGTTTTCTTGACTTTAGTCCAAAATTAATATTTGGTTAGAACCAGAGAGTTGTTCAAGTTGGAAGGAACCTCAAGTGGTCTCTAGTTCAACCTCCTGCTCACAGCAGGGTAAAAACTAAACTAAGACAAGGCTGTTCAGTGCCTTTTTCAGTCAGGTTTTGAACACCACCAATGATGGGGATTCCACAACCTGTTTCAGTGCTTAATAATCCTCAGTGACTTTTTTTCCTTACATGAAGTTCTCTGTCTCTTTTTGACTACTGTCTGTCATCCATTCACTCTGAATTTCAGCACAGAGCCTGGCTCCAATTTCTTGATAACTCCCTTGCAGGAACTGGAAGGCTATTACTAGGTTTCCCTTTCCCCAGGATGAACAAGTCCAGCTTTCCTGGCATATCCTCACAGGGCAAATGTTTCAGCTCCAAACTGTCTTGGTGGCCCTCCAAGCTGAAGTTTATTAAAGTCCTCCTTAATTGCAGTCACACAAACTAGACTGTTCCATATGAGGTCTGTTGAATGCTGTGTAAAAGCAAATAATCACCTCCCTCGGTCTATTGACTATATTTCTGTTGATGCAGCCCAGGATTCTCTTAACCTTCATCCCTGCAAGGGCTTCCTGCTCCATCATGTTTGGCTATTGACCATCAGAGCACCTGAGCTCCTTCCCATCAGAGTTGCTCCCCAGCCCATAGAAATGCAGGGGTAAGTCCACACCAAATGCACTTGTCCTCACTGACTTTCATAAGATCCCTGTTTTCACATTCATCTGGCCTGTCTAAGCCCCTCTGAATGGCAGCCCTTCCCTGGAGCATGTTGACTATATGCTTTAATTTGATGTTGTCCACAAACTGGATGAAAGTGCACTCTGAGTCCTCTGGGCTATTGATATGGATATGAAACAGGACACGAATCAATACAGACTTATGAAGAACTGCACTTGTAACCAGCTTCTCTGTAGAGTATGAACCATTACTCACTATGATTCAATCAGTTTTTCTCTCTGTCTCAAAAACGAAGCTGTGAGAGATTGTGCCAAAAGCCTCCTATCCACTGCTCTCCCATCATCCATAGATCAAGGCAGGTGATCAGGTTAGTTACATATAATTTACCCTTGGTAAATCCATGCTAGGTCTTTCAGTTCCTTGACTGCTATTGCAAACTTATGGTTGCAATGACAGGTGTTACACAAACAGCTTTGCTTTGTAAGAGAAAGAAGGGCTGACAACCAATATGAGATCAATTAGTACCGTCTCACTATTCCTCTGCAGATATGGCTGCACAGCTGGTATCTTATGTCTGGAGGTTACCGCTAAAGTTTGGGGACTAGGGCTATCTTTTTGTCCTGTGCTTGTACCATGCCCACTTGAGCCCCTGAGCCTAGCTGCAGGGTGGTGCTACCAGGTCTCACAATAATGCAGTTCATAATAATGCATAATAATGCAGTGATATGGAACAGAAACTTTAAAAATAATCAGTAAGTGCTTTTATTGCTGTTCTCCTGAAAGATGCAGAGAGAAACTAAGACAGGTAGTGAAGTTGTAGACATGAAGCATCTCTATATGTATGTTGCATTTACTCTTTGAATTGCAGCTGTGATGCTGCAGATCTACATCTCATGAAAACTATAATTTTTCATGGGAGCTTTCATGAAGAAAACCAGCTGTGCAGTAGTCATGCCTGGACTGAAGCAGGTGGAAATAAGAATGCTTTGCTCCCACCTCATTTAAGTAGTTACTTGTAAAGTGATGTATGCTCCTAACTACGCACTTATCTGATTGTTTCAGACTCCTTTCACAGTCCGTGTGTGCAGTGTGTAATGATCCGAGTTGGCACTTGGAGGTTTGCCCACTGGCAGCTGGTTGTGCCCAAGAGTATCAGCTCTGCAAAGTCGGCGATGCACCTCACAGCGAATGGCATAAACAATTTTTGGATGCAGGTGTGACTGTCCTCTCTACTCCTCAAGTGATGAGCTCCTTAAAACTCTGAATTTCCCTCTCTGCCTTTTTCCTCATGTCTTCCTGTCCCTTTATGGTCCCATGATATGTTTGTAGAGGACAAAAGAAGCAAATACTTGGAGCCACACGTCTGTATAGTTGTACTGCAGATGGGTCCTCTCAACCAAATTGCTACCATGGGCACAGAACTGCAGAAACAAACACGGATTGTTGTTTTACGCTTCAGACCTTTTTCGTAGTCTCATGCATGAGACCTTATTGAAGGCATTAATGAGGAGGCAAAACGAAGCTTTAAACAGAAACAGCTGCAACCTTAGCTGTGGAGGAACTTGGAATTAGGCAATAGCACAGTTTATTAAAATAAGGGGGAAAAGCTACTTTGCAGACAAAAAGAAAAAAAGAAAAAAAAGAAAAAAAAAGAAAAAAAAGAAAAAATAATCCCATTTGGAAACATTACCTAAAACCAGAACACCTTCCTTTGAAAGTGGATGGGCTCTTGTGCTGTTGCCCTTTATGACATTTAAACAGCACCACACAGGACAGAATTGTCTACTCCCTCTATTGATGAAAACAGAAAGTGCTGCCGCGGACCACTTACCTGCACAGGCTCCAGGATATCAGGGAGAACAACACAACCCTGCACTAGGGTTTGAAGAGAAAACGCAGAATGAGGAGAAATTAATAACCCTTTTGTTGTGCTCAAGCACTTTTCTTTTCAAAATAGCCTTTTTCTAAGGAAGTTTTTTAAGAGTTGCCTGCGACACTTTTGGGGAGACTGTGGAGCTGGTGGGTTTTCAAGTCAAAAGAAGGATGCTCAGGCCCCATGGAGTCAGCAGTGTAACAGTGAGTTTGTCTGAGACAGGGGAGATTCAAGACTTGCACAGGAGTTTTTAGCTAGTCTGTCCTTAGGCATCTTCCACTCACTCTCTAAATGAAAGTATAGGTGTGGAAGAAAAACAGGATTTGGTTTTGTGTTTTGCTTTCCATCTCGAAAGATATAACGGCTGTAGCCTTCACTGACAAAAGAGCAACCGAACTGAACCTACCCATGAAGCTAATGGTTACTTAATAAAGTTGAAACATTAAGTAAATTATGGTGTATGGGGTCCAGAAAGAACCTGAGAAGCATTGCTGTTGAACTGCTTCCAGTGAGGGGAGGATTGTAATATTCCCAGTTGGAGTCGGGGCAGGAGTCAGAGTCTACAGGGAGTCTGAGGGACTGTTTCCTTCACTCCAGGTGAGTAAGGAGCTGTCTGGCTGCCTTCATGGTGCTGCATGGTATTGTTCTTCTGTGTGCATTCTATTTCTTAATTTCTTTACAGTTTTGCCTTTTCCACGTTTGTTCTGTTTTTCTGGTAAAAGTTTCCTTGCCTGTGCTTGGAGAGCAGAAAAAGGCTCAATGGGAGATCAAGCATGTCCAGTCACTTGTCCTGAGGAGGC